TCTTGGAAGCCAGTCCATGTCTGGATTTCTGATTTCTGATCCCCAAGAAAAGTAAGGCTCAAAGAGAATTCCAAATTGAAATCAATTTGCCGACTTCGAACAGGCCTTCTTTGAAGCTATTCCAATCAAATATATAGATATAAGCACACAATGAATATATGCCTATACTTTCCTTAAAAGACACTTTCAGCAATGTTACACAACTCCCAAAATACTTTCCAAAGCCTATATTGATGTCTTAATAATAATGCAAAACCTTGGAATGTTTCTTTCAAACTGTTTAATTCTTGGCCAAAACAATTTATTTGGTATCAAAAAAAGAAAGTACAGCTCCAGAAACCAAATGTACAGTGACTGCAGCATCCAAGAACTGAACTAAAGGTGTCACCTTTTAGTCTAAAGAAAATACCCTTGGGTCTTCTCGCAGGTTGGTTCCCTACCAAAGTGAAGAATAGACATCTCAGGGACATTTGAGGACAGCTCTCTAGACTGCTGGCATGCGGGTTTATTCAACAACATTTATTGATATTTCTATGCTCCAGATTCTGAACAAAGCACTAGAAAGATCCTTAATTTCAAGCCTGCCCATTGCAACAACTAAATTTTTGGGCCAATATAACACCGTTGCTGTTTGGTTTGAAAAAAAGGAGAGCAAGGAAGTCATTAGTCATTCCTGAATGGAAAAGGACTTTAGTGAATAGTCTGAAGTTTAAGACACTACCCTCTTTCCAACATCCTGGCTCCTCAAAATGAGTGTTCAAAGATAAACATTTCTTGGTTTTTGACCCAGGGATTGCCCATAGCAATCGAAAGGTGGACATCGGCCTGCCTCTATATCTTGGAAGAGTTTCTGTCAAGTTTGGGCATGAATGTTGGGGTTGAAAGGGAAAAGACAAGAGGCTGAAGGGGACAGCCTGGTGAAAGGCAGTCAAGAGGCAAGGTAGGCAACCTCCCTTGAAGAATATGAAAATGAAGTTTCTGATCTGTCTGCCTGGCTCCTCCCACCAGTATCTCTCAAATCTAACAGTCTCCAGGTCGTTTTTACTTGCCTCCTAGAATCAGTTTCTTGCCATTGGTAACTTTTCTTCCGTTCCCTCCTTGCCTTTTGTCTCTTATTTTTCACAAGCATTACAAAAAGCAGGTGGCACCAGGACACAATTTTTTTTAACTGAAAGAGCCTAAAAAATCTATTCCAACCTCTTAAATGTCTCAGATGATAAATTTGCTAATCCAAGAGATTAGTTGATTTAGCCAAAGTCACATAGGGAACAAAACCCAGGGATTTTGATGGTCTTTCCACCCTGCCACAGTCCTACTTAACTTCCAGTGCATCCTGTATTCTTCCAGCATGACTGACTCACTTTTACTTCTGAGTTGAGCCTCATGCATTCCCAGAAACTGGCTGGCAGCTGTCTTGTTGGTGTTGGTTTCCACAGTATTTAGCACCAAAAAATACTTGCACTAGTGTATTCCACTAAGTAAGAATCACCAGAGAAGAACATTAATGTTCAGCCTGAGCCCAGAAGGACCAAGGATTCTTTGCCTCCAGTGGAGAGCATCTCTGTAAGAATAATTTGTGCATGATCTGCTGAATGGAAGAAGCACCAAGTCCTTTGTCTTAACTGTTGACTAGAGGAGGCTTAGTGATGCCAAGTTCCCCTCAGAGTTCAGGGATATAATTAGAGGGCAGCATTAGGTTCATACCAGAAGCCAAGAAGAACTGGGAGGACCGTCGGCCATGACACCCAACCCCAACCTAGACCTCTAACAGCAAGTTACTCTCACTTAGTACAGGAGGGGATGGCGATGACAGGGAGATCAGCCTGAGTGCCCTGGAGCCTTCACCAAAAGTTACAATACAGCTTGCTTCCAGCTAAGCTCTCAGAGCCCATTTGACATAGTTGCCTAAAATGTGGACTTTAGTATAGGGGGATGAGGATGAAGTGGACTGAGGATGAGTGGCCATATTGACTAAGGGGTGTCATTTCAAGACACATTTCATCATGTTAGGCTCTTAGTAAATAAATACACTGTTGACAGTGCTTTTCTGGTATATAGAAAGGCTGGGCTGGGAAATAAGACCAAATGTTCCCTTCTGGCTTTGAGTCCTCTCAGATACTTCAGATTCTGAATTGCTGTGACACGGGGCAAAGGAAGAGAGGATCATCTTATCAGAACTCAACCTTGCACAGGTCCAGCAAGTTTCAGCAGCAACTGGCCCCTACCCATGCAAGGCCCGGGGAGAGCCATACTGGCATTCCAGAGTGGTACTGAGAAAAACGACACAGTGATTCAATGCTGTTAGAATCTAAGAATTCAGAGCCAGAAGGATCCGGAGATTAACAAATGCATCTCTTATAGTGCAGATGGAAAAATCAAGACACAGTGGAATGAATTGCCTCATGCACTCCACATACCCCAAAGCTGTAGTGTACCCATACAATTTTCATACCTCTACTTTATGCCTTCTTTACTCACCATAAAATCTTATCATATATATTTTTTTAACTGCCGAGGTTCATACATCAACACGTTAAAGTAGACTCTATGCAGAGAGGACAGCAAGAGTGGTAAGAAAGTGGGTCCTCCTCTCTACTCCTCTCTGCCCTTGCACTGCTCCACAGGCAGCTGCTCACAATGGACATGGTGAGGACACAACCCTAAGACAACATGGAGGCCTATGGAACTAAGACACCAGCAATTTGACAACTGGAGTGTCCTTCAGTTATCCTTGTTCCCAAAGGAATTGCCTTCTTTCATTAGGCCATGATGATTCGGTGCCCTGAGTTGAAACCCTAGCACATTCCTTATTCCCAGTTGTCCACCAGTCTCAAAGCTATTTCCTCTCCTCCTTCTTCCTAGTTCATCAGTGACTATGAGGTTCTAGAAACATATGGCCAAGAAGACAGAAGCCACACAGTGTTGGGGAGAGGACATGAGGGAAGACAAGCAACAGAAGAAGCCTTGGAGCTTCACTTTTAACCAGGAGACACTTTCCTGTAAGATCCCTCAAATCATTCCCTCCCTGAACATTTTTCTCTTTTTCTTTAGTTACCCAGATCAAAACCAGACTGTGCAGTTCCATCCAGCATTCACAGCCCCAGCACAGACCAAGGACCTCTCGGTGGAAAGACAGAAGTGTCGGTTGCCACAGGACAGCAAAGTGTTCTCATGAGGTTGTCAATCCAAAGAACTTTCTCCAGAAGTCCTCAGGCACCAGGAATACAGCACAATTAGAAGACTCACACCAAACTCCCAGCTCACATCCCCCTCTTCCCAATTCAGCTGAGCAGCCTTGTTGATCCCTGAATCCAAACAGTGGCTACAATCTGAGCACAGTTCTCTATTTGAATAAAAACATTTGTGGGTCTAAAAAAGAAAGCAAAACCACAAACACATAACTCAGTCCTAAACCCCACACAGGGATTCCCATACTTCAATAGCCTTCAGCTAACCAGGATGTCCAGGCTGCTGACTGTCCCTTTAGCTGGCAGGAAAGGGTGCAGGCCAGAGGCCCCCAGGAGGCTCCAGTTAGGCAAAGGTCATTCCATTCAGTAGCTCTGTGCTTGGGGTGAGGTGGATGGGCTAGGTGACCTGGGAGAAGCACGCCCTCTTCTGCCCAGTGGGAGATCTCTTGAGGCCAGGTTGTTGGCTTCCATGGCATTTGGTTGTCATGTGTCAGGGAGGCCTAGAGATCTGTCCTGTTGTGATCCTTGGCAGCAGCCAGTAAGGCAGTGATTCCCCCGGTGCTGAGGCAGAGGGAACTGGGCTCAGCCCAGATGCTTGATCCGCTCTCCCTGGTCAAGGCTCGGGGTGATCATTAAGATGCCAAGACTGTGGTTCTGGCCACTCATTGGACATCTCCCAGAGAAGCCTCAGCCCCTCTCCTTACCCTAGCCCACAAAAATGATTTTTCAGCCCCTTCATTTTCACAACAGTTCGAAGGTAGATGCATCAATCCTCCCAGGGGCTGGAAACGTGAGGAGAATGCCAAAGTATCAGGAGCAGGTGCCAAGTAGATTCTCTCCTGCTGATTCTTGCCCACTCACTGCCCCAGCCTCTCATGAGACCTGGCTTCCTTCCCTGGCAGTGGGTTTACTTGGGACTTAGTAGAGGCCCAGGAAGTGGAGCCAGGATCTAGGGAAGCAGGATGAAAAACTGAGAGGACTCAGGGACATACCTTATAATGACCTACAAGTAACTGAGTCTCTTGCTATTGGAACTGAAGCCTGCTGTGTCAACATTCACAGACAACATGGGGGACCTATTTCCTACACCTCCAAACTCTCCAAGGATCTAAAAATGGGAGGTGGGACCAAAGAGTCTTTCCAGCAATAGAAAGACAGGTGGCAGTGCCTTGTCAGGGTTCAGGTTTCAGTTTTGTTTTTTTTCCTTCTGTGGTTCTTTTAGACCAGAAAGTCCAGTTCTTTAAGTTCAGAGGATAGAATTACACATCCTTTTAAACTGTAGCAAGAAATTTACACCCAAGATGGATGAGGTCTGCTCTTGTCATAATTATTGTGTTGTGGTGGTGTTTGTTCAGCGTTTATCTATAGGCATCATCATTGATTCCTCAAAGCATCAAGACTATATTTTTCAGAAAAGACAAATTAGAAAATTGTCCTGAAGTGGAGGAAATGGGGAAGAAGTGGAGGCCAGGACCTGCTCTGGCGCCATTTCTTTACTTCGCATGTTCTGTGCCAGCTTCCGGGGTAGCAGGTACACACAGCAGTAACTGGGCTCCACCTTAGCTCCTCCCATCCCAGAGCTCCCATCCCAAGGATTGTCTCTGCATGGTCAAAGTCTTCTGCTCTGAAAAGCTGGAGCTGAAGCACAGGCCACAGCTTAAGTCCAAGGGAATTTTCATTTGCATTAATAATATTTAAGAGTTTCTGGGTTGTTAAAGTCTTCTGGTTTTCTGTATCAGTAGCTTCTCTCTGTGCAAGAGAAGGTTTCTCTCTGTAGATATAGATAGATAGATAGATAGTTAGATATATAAATATATATATGTATATATATATATATGCCAAACTGCCTTACAGGGTTTTTTTCTTTCTTTTTTTTTTTTGTCTTTTTTCAGTGTTGTATGTGTAGCAGGCACTTGAGTTTATATGAAGATGTTCACTTCAGTCAAGGATAGAGGGAGTTGTGAGGTGGAAGGGAGATGTGAGTCGGGGAGAGAGGAGACAACAGAGTATGAATTCATGACCACCAGCCACCACTAGCCGAGAATGTCCAGATAGATTGGGGTGGCTTTCCCCAAAGCATGGAGGATTTTGTAGATCTCTTTGATGTTCAGCCGCTGCTGTGGTTCCCTCTGCCAGCACCCCAGCATGACATCATACACCTCTTTGGGGCAGACTCGGGGCCTCTCCAAAACGCGACCTTGGGTAATGCACTCAATGACCTGAGAGAGTGAGGAAAACAAGGAGGTTACATCCAAAGCCCCACCTTGAGCCCATGGCTCACACTCTGTGAAAGCCAACAACTTCATTGGTTAGCTTCAATGCGGAGTCGAGGTTCCCACAAACAGACTAGATGCTGGGCTGGAGACACAACTGACTACTTGTCTTTTGTGCATGGGTTATGTTGAAGCCCTTTGTATCTTGCCTCTTGGGCCAGGCCCACCTTGATCATGGACTCCCCACACACATTCTTCCTTTTTACCTTGGTCTTCTTCTCTAGTCCTGAATCTCATCTGGATGACTGAGCTACATTCATTTTCTATCTTGGTAGTGGAGATTGGCTTCTGACCTCTACCTTCCCTTTTTAGGTCCTGCCTGACCTTAAAACCCCCTAGAAGGAGCTCTGAACCATCTGGCCCCCACATGCCTCCTTAGCTCTTATATCTGGCAAGCTCCCCCCTCAATCACACATTAACACACTTGTCTCTGAGTCTTTACAAAGGACTCTTGCTCTGCAAGGCCTTTCCTTCCCTGATCTTTGCACTAAACTATGTACCTTGTTTCTTTTAATGTCCTTAATGCTAAGACTAACTGCTTGATTCACCACTGCTTGCTGAGCAGCCGATGCTCCCAGGGTCTCAGCATCCCCATCTGAGATAAGGATCAAATGTCTGCCTTGACCACTTCCTAAGAGTGTTGTAAGGACAAAATGAGAGCAAGAAAAGGGAATGTATGGCCTAACATACTTATAAGGTGACCATAAGACTGGATGGGAAGAAAACAAATCATTCACAGCTGGACCAACCCCAGCAGACCAGTTGAGAACCAAGTGTATAATTTGCGATTCCTTCCCAATTCCTCAAAGGCACTTCTTTTCTGACACTGAATATGTGAGTTTTCAAAGTTTCATCTTTCGCTTTTCAGGTTAGTTTTAACTTCTCCCTGACTTTATCACTGCAATTTTGGACAAGTTACATACTCAGAACTTCAGTTTCTGCATTTAAAGATTGGTTGTGATGATTAAAATACACAGAATGATCTCTAGTTCGAGAGCTGAACAAATAATATTTCCCTTGTCTGCCCTCAGAGCCGGTATTTAATTGGGTGAGAGAGCTGCCTTTTTTCTCCTTTGTATCTCCTTATGCTGCTTAGCAGTGCCTTCTCTCCAGTATTGTCCCTTGTCACTCTGACTTTGGGAGAACTTGTCAAACCATCACTGTGGCAGCATCCTCCTGGTTATATTCACCTTGGTGTCTGCAATGGCCCACTAGGCTCATTTCTTTGCCAGCTTGATAAGTCTCCAGTTGCTCATATTCCGCATTTGTATTAGAGATGGATTTCCACCCTCCATTACCTTTACCTCCATGAAGAAGGATCCATTCCAAACTGCCATAACAGCTGTGATGCAAAAAATACCTAGTAGTGTCTCTTCCAATGTGGGACTATCCAGGTTGTCAATTTTGCTATCGTGGGTTAGTGAAGTATGTGACTGGGGGCAGGAAGCATGCCTTCAAGGCCAATGCCTCATGGGCAGTCTTAGAAAAGACTGCAAACTAGCTACTATGAGCCAGGACAAGTCTTATGCTTAGACCAATAGCAACTTCATTCCAGAGCCTCTCTTTACTGGAGCCACCAAACTACATGGAGGCAATTATTAGGTGCATGAATGTGTGTGTGTGTGTGTGTGTGTGTGTTTATGTGTATAACCCACCTCCTAGGAAAACAAAAATGATTTTTAAAAACATCATAACAATGGGTTCTGACATTATTTCATCACTTTTTCATGATTTTATTTTATTTTATTTTATTTTATTTACTTTTTGAGTTGGAGTCTCACGCTGTCGCCCAGACTGGAGTGCAGTGGCCGCTCCTGGCCACCGAAGCCTCACCTGCTGGGCTCAGGCGATCCTTCCGCCTCAGCCTTCCAAGTAGCCGGAACTACAGGTGCGTGCTACCACACCTGGCTATTATTTTGATTTATTGTAGAGATGAGGTCTCGCCAAGTTGCCCAGGCGGGTCTCGAACCCACGGGCTCAGGCAATCCACTCACCTCAGCCTCCCAAAGGCACGGGATTACAGGCTGAGCTACTGAGCCTGGCTCACTTTTTCATGATTTTAAAAGGTTGCTAAAATATTTTTTCCTACTTGGAAAAATGTGGTCAGGCCCCTTTGAGCTTGTGAATGGTGAAATATTACAAATTTAAAGAAGCGTCTTCTTTCCAGTCTTCAAAATTTAATTAATTAAGTGGTCAGGACATAGAGCAGAAATGAACATAGATTCCAAGAAGAAAGGCACTTTCTTGAATATTCAAATAAGATTTCAATACTAAAAGGCCTTTGTGTTTACATTTTATCAGAAAACAGAAGACCTTAAAATGAATTGCAATCTTTGTATGGGTCTGCTGGGTTGGGAGACTGAGATCGTTACTGCCTACAAATTGTATTGAATTTCCTGTAGCAACATGACCCTAGTCTACATGTCACATGAAAGTATCCTGATGGCCATGAAGTCAGAGAAGTGCTGGGACCATAACCTAAGCTTTCTCCTTGCCCTAGAGGCTGTCTCCTCTGAGACCCTGACCAGTCCACTCCAGGACCCTACACAGTCCCCTTTCCTTGTCCTGAATCTCAGTGGTGTCTCTTTGTAAAAATTGCTGCATTAATATAACTATAGTGCTTTAAAAGTGCCTGATGCTAAATGTTAGCTACTATTAAAAGTTGTTTACTAGCATTTTTTATTATTGTAAATTAAAATTATATAAATATGTGCTTATTATTATGTTTACTTTTATGGCTTATTTTATTCCTGGAAGTACACATATGGCTCTTTTAGTTATGTAAGACTAACCTTCCCAATTCTCCATCTTTGTACATTCTTGAACCTGGCATGCCTATGACCTTTGGGGACCCAGATTAATTGGGCATACTAAGTAGTAGATGTTTCCACAAGATGGCACAATTGAAAAACTCATAGTTGTTCTTCGTTTTCATTTCTTGTCTTAGTGAAACATTTATGATTTTTAAGTGTAGCAGAACAAACAGAATTGTGACTTGAGACTCAATTTAGTCATCTGATTTCATGCTATTTTGACAATTATACCACATTTCCTACAGTTATATTTTGTTTCTATGAAGAAGCTCTCCCCTCGTGTGTATGCCTACGTTCACTTTGCTGGCTCCAAATTCCACCTGATGTGTTGTACACCGTGCCCAAATCCAGGCCTGAAATATCTCTTATCAGCTGTCCCTCATATCAACAGTCCCATGTACCCCCTTCTTTACCTCTGTGTTTGAGAGCTGGAACCATGGCTGCTTTCCATAGGTGAAGATCTCCCAAAGGATCACCCCAAAGCTCCACACATCGCTCTCCGTAGTGAACTTCCGGTACATGATGCTTTCAGGGGGCATCCAACGAATGGGGAGCATAGTGTGTCCTCCAACCTAAACGAGGTCAAGACAGAGGAACATAGTGTGACCAGATGACCAAAATGAGTGACATCTGTCTGCACTCTTCATATGTAGATGCACTCTTGATGCACTGTATTCTAAGATAGCTACAACTTTACACAACTTCTATGAGAGGTTGAGTGGAGACTGACTTTTGAGACCTATGATACTGTAGGCAGCTAGACTGGCATTTAGAGATGATGCCTGAGGGAAGGTAGGCTCCTTGGCACTGAGTGTAAAGAAAGATCACAAGATGATCTGAAGTGAGAGAGAAAGCTTCAGAATCTAGTACTACAGTAAAATCTAAACTTAAGAGGAAGTCCAGAAGAAAGTCAGCAGACTTTCTGAGCGAGTAACCAAGCATCAGTATTTTCATCAGGGTAGACAGCTTGGCTAATGTGGAAATGGTACAATATGTTCCAGGTGCATCTAATCTATAGAACTATGACTTCAGCTTTTACCTGACAATTCTGGTTTTCTCACCACAACTTAGGACTCAGTGTTTCAAGCAAAGGGGATGGAGATATTTCAAAAGTGTGGAATACCATGTGCTAATAAAATATCAGGTGGACAGAAAGAGAATTCATGACAATTCTTAGAAATATTTGAAAGAGCATTAAAGAGAGTCTTTAAAAATTGCTAAGAGGGCATCAGCCATCTGTGGGTCTACCAAACTGAAAGTCAAGAGCAAAGAGGAAATGACTGACAAGGATAGAAACCCAGGGTATTCTTTCTTGAGGAAAAATAGTAGAAAAATCCTCACTGCCCAGCAGATTAGAGGCATAAACATAAGTGAAAAATAAATAAATAACTTCACAGCATGTTTTAAAACTCAAACAGCATCATCAGTCAATAGAGCTTCAGAAGTAGGAACTTTCAGCTTATATGTGGAATTTGTTGTTACAAAAGTGCTTTAACATTGATAAAAAGCATCCTTTATATACATCCTTATGAACCATTGGCGTGCAGTTTCCATTTCTGTGGTGGGCTAGTTAGAAAAATAATAAAAATGAACACAAGAAATAATGACTTGGGAGATGGACAATCTTGTTTCTAAAAAGGGAAATCATGTTTACCTCATCCACTTGAAGAATTTTAGAAGATAAATGAAAATATGGGTTTTCAGAAAAGTAATTTTCAACCCAAGATTTTACAATCAAGATAGCTCTGTATCAAATGTCAAGACAACTGAAGATGTCTCTTTCAGACAAGCCAAGACTCAAGAAGTTTACCACTCACAGTCTTTCAGAAAATATAGAAGCAAAAATTGAGTACATGCTGTAGAAAAACAGTAAAAAAAAATCCAAGTTATATAATGACTTGGAACATAACATAAATTGTTGAGCAAATAAGCCATGAAAATGCAATTTATATCTAAATAATCATTGCTAATTTGATAGTAAAAGTAATACAATTACTAATAAAGCCTTCTTATAAAATAGAGGCATAAAGTAAATAATAATACGAATAATACTAATAGTACTACCAATGCTATTATTAACATACTTATCTGGAATGAAACTTTCATATAACTTCAACTATAAGTGCATGGAAGGATAGATAAGAAATAATTAAAAGTACAATAAAGCCTGTATCTTTTAGAAAGGAAAAAAAAGGAGCTTACAAATAATGATCAATTGTTGATTATAGCTGTTTAAATTTAAATATGCTTGCTAAAATGTTAAAGCGGCTTCTAGAAGAATAAAAATAGTGCATATCGCTTTCAAACTAGTTTTTTAATAGAGTCAAAAATCTTTAACTAATACAAAAAAGACTACAAAAATAGGGAGTGAGTTTTTAAAATATCACTATAGACAATAAATTCAAATGGGTTAGATTACCTCTTAAATGAGAGCAAAATTTAGGTTAAAAATCAAGCATATTATTTAGAGAAGATAAATCTAAAACAAAATAGCAGAAAATATTGAAAATAAAAGAATGCTAAAATGCATCAAGCAATGAAAGAAAAATATAATTAGCCATATATATGCATATACATATATACATATGCATATATGTGCATATACATAAAATTTATATATGTTTATATGTATATACAAATTTATTGGGCTAATTATGTTTTTATATACATTTTCTATTGTTTAATATATATATGATAAGAAGAACTCAAAATGCCAAAAATTAAATGAAAACAAAGTGGCTTATATCATATTTCTATCATACTTAATATATTAATATCATAATTAAAGCTGACCAAATTTACCATTATGGTAATCATGAATTTTCATGCTCCAATTAACATAGCAACAATATATAAAATATTTATAAAGTATATTTAATAAAGAGTAAAAACAAGAGGAAACTGACAAAGCTATCACTATAATGAAAAGCTAAAACACTTCTTTCACAAATTAAAAGGTCAAGAAGATAAAAAAAGAATATACATTTTTAAAATGCAAATAATAAATTTCAAAAAATAGACTTGAGTGCTGTGATTGCACATCTTTCAGCCTCCTTAAAAACCTGCACACTAGGCTGGGCTTGGTGGCTTAATCTGTAATCCCAGCACTTTGGGAGGCCGAGGTCAGTGGATAGCCTGAACCTGTGGGTTCGAGACCAGCCCGGGCAACTTGGTGAGACTCATCTCTGCAATAAAATCAAAAATTAGCCAGGCGTGGTAGTGCACACCTGAATTTCCGGCTACTTGGAAGATGGAGGCGGAAGGATTGTTGGTGCCCAGCAGGTTGACGCTGGGGTAGCCATGAGCATGCCACTGCACTCCAGCCTGGATGACAGAGTGAGACTCCAACTCAAAAAAAAAAAGGTTCACACTATTTTTAATTACTCAAAAAAAGCCCAATCACATATTGAAGCTTAAAGAAAATCTAAATTCCAAGATAAAAATAACTATAAAGTAAAATTTAAAAACATTTTTTGTACCAAATTAAATAAAAGATAAATTAGAACAAAAATAATTTAAACAGTTCTCTTTGGGTAATTAAACTACTTGATAAAGAAAAATTGAAAATAAAATTTAAAGCAATTTATTATAATATTAACTAAAGTCTTAATCATTGAAATCTATGGACTAGAAAGCAATTTTAGAAAAAAATCACATTTAAGCATTTTAAAAAGTTAACATATTAAATTAAATTTAAAAATTGATTACAAAGGTAGTAAAGACTTGCAAAACAAATGCAAAGCAAGCAAGAAGAAATAAGTAATATAGAAAAAATAAAATAAGTACTAATTAATCAGTATAAAATAAAACAAAGCAAAACAAACAACCAAAAGGAAAATTAAAAGCCAAGAATAAATTGCTAGTTCTTTAAAAATTTATGTAAACATTTGACATGATTAATAAGGAGTTTAGAGATTAATGTAAGATGTGAACGATATTACAAAAGTGAAATTTAAAATATAGATACAATGATTAATTTACTAGAAAATATTAATTTTTAAAAAGTTGAGAAAAGTAGAAAATGCAAAAACTGTAACTGTAGTTTTTAAAAAAACTATACAGTATAAAGATACAAGGTCCAGATAGCTTTTTGGGTGCATTCTACTAAAGTTTTCTATTCTATTTATACTTTCCAAAGCAAAAAAAAGATAGAAACTTTCCCAAACCACTCTCTGTGACTTGAATGTCCCTGGTGACAAAATCAGTCAAACTTATTATATAGCTTTAAACATATAAAGGCAGAGATCGATACTTCATATGCATGTGTATAAAACTATCTGTTATAAATATATTCTCCAAATATAAATAAAATATCATAGCAAATTAGTAATATATTACAATAACTTCATATTGTAACTCAATAATGATTATACTAGGAATTCAAGAATGACTCAACTTTAAAAAATCTACTGTGTAATTTACTAAATTAGAAGAAAAAAATCCTTTCAAAAAATGTCAAAGATTTTCAACACTTTTTAAAAACTAAGAGCCCTAATGCATTAGTAATAAAAGGTAGCTTGCTTTATTTAACACACCAAATATTATATTTACTGGTAAAATATTAGCAGCATAGAAAGTATCTTCTATCACTGATTTTAGGCAAAATTGTTCAGGAGGTCCTAGCCAATGCTAAAAACTAAGAATATTTTTAAACAGCGTAGAAATATTGAAAAGGATGAGTCAAAATTGTCTGTTGTCTGTATATAGCTTTTCAGAACAATTAACTATAAAAAATAATTAGAATCATTAGACCTAGCAAGCTACCAAGATGTAAGAGAAACATAAAAATTTAACTGTTCTCACATGCCACTGGCAATCACTTCAAAATACAATGAAAAGCAAGATTGTGCAATAGCAACAAAAATATTTAAAACTCCTAGACATAAGCTTTAGCAGAAAATGCACAAGGTCTATTTAAAGAAAAGTGTTGAAAAGCAAAAAATAAAAATAAAAAGATCTGAATAAATGGAAAGTTGTATCTTTTTTTTGGATAGGAAGACTCAATATTGTACATCTCTCATTCTTTTTTCAAATTAATCTAGAAATTTGATACATCTAAATGAAAACCCCAATGGAATGGTGTATGGAAACTGACAAGATGAATCCAAAATTCACCTACAGTAGTAAATACTTGATAAAAACAAAGATATACTTGAAATAGAACAAGAAGGAAGAGTTACTCCATCAGATAGCAAAGCATTTTTATTAAACTATATAATAAACACACTGTATTTTGGCATAGGAATAGACAGATTTGTTAATAAAACAGACTAGAGAGTCCAGAGACAGACTCATGTATAAATACTGGAATTTAATATATGAAATGATGGGTTAGTAATTAAAGTGTTGGGACAATGAACTATTCATTTAAAAAAATACACTTAGATACCTACCTCACACCATATACAAAAATCATTTCCAGATGGATTAAAGAGCTAAACATAAAAAACAAAACAATAATAATATTAGAAGAAAACTTTTAAAAGTTTTATAACCTCAGGAGAGAAAGGCCTTCCTAAATAAGGCACATGTTCAAGAAGACATCAAGGATAAGATTAGAGATACAACTTAAAAAACTTAAATACTTTTGCATGACAAAAGACAACATAAGCATAGCTAAATGACAAAAATATTTGTAATATATGTAACAGACAAAGAATTTAAATCCATATAATACAAAGTGCTCCTTCAAATTAGTTAGGGAAAGCAACCCAACAGAAAAATGAGTACAGGGTAAGAGCAGGTCATCAAAGAACTACACATGACCACAGACACATGAAAAGACGCCAGTTAAAACAACAAAGACACACGTTTTTGAATGTTGTTTGGGAAAACTTGAAAAAAGATTGATACTGTCCGGTGTTTGAGAGGAACAAGGAAAGAGTTAATTCTCAAATGCTACTGGTGAGAGATGCCTCTGCCTTTTGTGAGTGCAGCTTAGCAGAATCTGTCCACATTACAGATGCTAGTACCTTTGAACCCAGCAATTTCATTTCTAGGAGTCTTAGAAAAAAACATTTGCTTATGTAAGCAAAATTATTTAGTTGAAGATGTTTATTTCATTGTGTTTCTGAGGGTAAAAATTTGTTCATCATTAAAGGTATATGTAGTAGTTAAAAGGAATATAGTAGAGCTATGTGTAGTGACATGTAAATATGTCTTCAACATATTAAATAAAAACAAAAGACATTGAAAAATATATTTCAGTGTTTTCATTCATGTAAAATGTGTATGTGGATACATAAGCAAATATACATTGTTACGCTGTAACTTTGAAAATACATAGAAAAAATTCAGAAAGTCAGTAAGCCAGTAGTTTCTGTTAGAGAGATATGTAAGAGTGAGTAGTGACCAAAGGAAAAATTCCACATTTTACTAGATGTTTTTCTATGTTGTTTGAAATCTTAGAAGGATCATGTATCACACCGGAAAATTTTTAAAATTTTAAAACATGAATAAAAGAAAACCAGTGAACTTAATTTAACTTTCATGTGAAAATATTTTAAAGAAAAAATTATGTTTGTGATAGAATATGGTAGAAAGGTTTATTGTACTTGGTTTCTTGATTTAAGAAAAATAAAAATCAGGAAAGTAGGAACATTTCTCTTGATGAAGAATTTTAAATAATGGAGTCCCTCAAATTGATGCTGGTGTGTGTCTCATTTGATGATTTTATATACAATCCAGAAGAGGTATTCTAAATTCAAATCTTAAATCTTACAAAGAGAGAAATTCAAGTGTGCTGTGTGTAAACTGTGATGAGCTTAAGTATTTGGGCAGAAAAATATCAGAAGGATATTAATTGATCACAGGGGACCCACTAAGAAGAATCTTATCAAGACTCTAACTGAGCAGCACTGCTGATGTGGGTGAAGTTTATAACGCATTCTTTCAGGAGTGGAATAAAATTTTTCAAGAGGCCTGTGATATAACAAAAAAAAAGCACTAATTTGGAAGTCACAAGTCCTGAGTTCTGCTATGACTTTTGAGCTTCAATTTCCTTATCATCAAAATATGAGTTTAGCAACAGCCTGCCTAAAGTAAGATTCTGTACATAAAAATCCATTGAACATCATTAAGTGCAAATGTATATACATAAAGTACAATAACATTCATTCTGTGTGGTTTTTACATGCTTCTGGGCAGCATAACAAACCCAATTTCCTCAGATTCCTTATCTACGCTGATTTTCCTCCAGAATGACCTATATCATTCTCCCACAATGGAGAGACACAGTCTGGGAAAGGCAGTGGTCAAAGTCTTCCCTGACAAAAATTATTGACAAATATCCCCCATGGTAAAACCTTGCCAGACGTGACCTACCCAGAAACAATCATCTTAACAATAGAAATAATATTAATTAATTAATTAATTAATAGTAAGTACCGGCCACTGGATGTTACATACATCCCTCATTAATCCTTTCTCTAGTCCTGTGTAATGAAACCCTCTATTATGCCCATGTCACAGATGAAGATAAGTTACCTTGCCCAAACATTGCATAGTAAATATTACCTAATGATCCAAGCTCTCAAGATACATTTAAGGATCTTATGACGGAGCCTTGAAACAGAGATGTAAAGCAGTAAGGCACAGGAAAAAGGAATGATTCCAGAAATAAAATAAGAACTTGGAGAGAAGCAGATCTTGGGACTGCACAGAGGAAGAAGCTCACACCTACTTGGAAGATATCTTCCACCTCCTCAGCCATTGCCTTCCTCTGCCCTCTCGCACGCACTCACAAGGGAGATGGAGTTTGACAAACCTGGGAGGTTGGAAGTGCCCATGGAAGAATTCATCAGTGCTAGAGGGTTAGGATGCTTGGGTTGTTTAGCTGTCAGTTTGGAGGAATTAGAAAGTCATAAGATCCTGGGACATGTTCCTCTTTTTGCCTTTGTTACTGGACCTGGCCAGGATTCACTAAGGTCTTTGCTCCTTTGAATTGCTGTTCATGCTAATTCAAGAATACAATTCTATTTGCATTAAATCTGTTTCCCAGAAAAATGATTATTCTTGGTATATTGGGGATCGTGTTGGAACAAAACATTAATGTCACCATCTCCATAAAATTCCTTTTATACTTCCAGGCCAGATGGGTTCTGAATGATTCCAGATTTTGAGTAGGAAAATTAGAAATACCTGATCAACTCAGGCTTAAGGAGATCCATTCCAAGGTCAACCACAAACGCAAGGAATTACAGGAGTGAGTGAAGTGATTATTCCAAAATCTGATCAGGCCAGAGAAGTCCAGTCTCTGTGACTATAGAACCCTTCTCATGCGCAGTTTTCTGGTTATTCTCACAGCCCTTTGGCAGGGATGTTTTTGCCCACTAGCCCACCAATATTTTGTTAAATTCTTTCATTAATTATTTTTCACACTTTTGTAAGGCTGCCAGATTAAATACAGAATGCCCAGTTAAATTTAAATTGTAGATAAACAACAGGCAATTGCCTTGCTAGACTCTGGTGTGGCCATGTGCTCTTTGAGCTATGGCTGCCGCCATGCTTCCTTGCTTCCTGGCTTTGGCCCCCTCCCCACCTTGGGGAGGTGAATCTTTTCTTTCTCTCTCTCTAATTTACTTTCAAATGAACCGTATTTCCTAATCTAAAAAAAAGGTAAACAACAAATTTTTAATTATAATTACATTCCAAATATTGAATGGAACATACTTAAATTGTGATATTTGCCTGAAATTCAAATTTAATGAGGTGTCCTGTGTTTTTATTTGCTAAATCTGGCAGCCTTACATTTCAGACCTGGGTAGGAAGCTGACATTATGCTTTCATTTGCCAGGCTTTCTGTGCCGGGGCTCTCTCTCTTCTTCCCTTTGTTCTCTGCCCCATCCTAAAGGAGACTGCTGAGTTAGGGATATGATGCAAACCAAAGTTTTTTTCTTCCTCTTCCCGTTCTCTTTTCAGCTTTTTCTCCCTATTTCTCATTAGCATCTTACTGGGGGAAGGGGATGAGTGTGGCAGAGAGAGGACCTAGCAGGATTTTCCCCTGTCAACACAGCTCTGCTACCTTGTAGCTGTAGATTCCTGGCAAGTCATTCGTCCTGCCTAGGCCTCAGTTTCCTCATCCCGATGTTGTCTGCCTGATCACAAGTGCCTGGCATACTTGTTTAAAACTACAATTTCCTAGTCTTTACCCCAAACCCAATGAATTAGACCAGGAGTCAACAAATTATGACCTATCTCTTATTATTGGAAATAGTTTTACTGGCACAACACGCTCATTCATTTCCATAAAGTCTATGGTTGACTTTAGGCTATATGGGCTGAGTTGAGTATTTGCAACATAGACCACCTTAAAGTTGCAATAAAGACCACCTGCAAGGTCTAAAATATTGACTGTCTGGTCCTTTACAGAGAAAGTTGGATGACCTCTGAATTAGACTCAGAGGAAGAGGACCAGAAATTCACCAGCCCCCCTACTTTTTTTTTAGCTTAACAAAGGAAATGACTTTTTGGGTTATGCTATATTGTTTCCAAAATACTAACAATTCCTTTACATCAAATTCCATTCAGTGTTAAAATTTTCCCAATGTTCTTAAGTGTTTTTTTAAAACTTGACCCCAAAAAAGATCTACACATTGTATTTATTAATAGTAATGTTTCTTAGGGTCTTTTAACTGTAGCATTCCCCCACCTTCTGCCCCCATCTTTCTATTTATTTGTTTCTTTGATTGTTTAAGATCCCGGGTCATTTATCTCACAAATTCTCACAATCTGGTTTACTTCACCATATCCCCATGGGTCATTTTGCACGCTCCTCTACCTACAGCACTCCTATAATCAGGAATACCTGATTATACCTGACCAGGTATCTAGACCCCTGATCAGATCTAGTTCCTTAAATGGTGTTGTATGCTTCTTTTGTAACAAAACAGGAGGCAAAAGTTGTCCAGCTTTCTTTTTTTTTTTTTTTTTTTTTTGATATGTTAAGACTGAACAGCAGATTCAGTCTGATTATCTTCTATAAGGTTCTCTTTTATCTAGCAGTTTTAGCAGCCACTAATAATCATTGCCTAGATCCATTATTTCACTGATGGCTACAAAAGAATGATATTCTAATTATTCCATCCTCTCTGCATATATTAGCTGGAAATCTTTTATAAATAAAAACTTTCCTTCATCAGCTATTTGGCTACACTGATACCAGTTTATGCAGTATTGATAAGATAAATCCTTGATTCTGTCCCTTTATATACCAGTTTTTAGAATAATGAATTCATTCCCTAGCATCCTCCAAAGGTGATCAATGAGAGGTTTGTTTTGTTTTGTTTTTGAGAAACATCATCAAGGCTTGGTCTTTTAAAAAGCAACATCAATAACAACACATTTGAAATGTTTTATTCTACTGTAGTTATTATTTATAATGCTTGATGTTTTATCTTTGACCTCTTAAAGATGGTGTCTGTGTCCTCCCACATTG